ATCCCTGGTTTCGAAACAAGTTCTTTTTGACAAGACGAATGTCAACAACAGCACGCTGACGAACACATCTTTTCCCTCTGTGTAGTTTACGATAATGTCCCACTGGTATTCTTTGCAAGAAATATCATGGTAGTCATGATAAAATGAGAGACATCTCCACGACTATCATTTGCATATGAAAGTACCCGGCTCTGGTAAGAAATCTTACCAGTGAATTGCAGCACCGGACAGTCAGTCATGCCTAACGACACTCCATACTTCCTGTCCCGGCGTTCACAATTTATTCACACCTATTATGTTCATACACAATATTCAATAACATAATAACAGATTAATATTAGGTATGACTGTTGACAGTCTATGCTAGATGTAGAATGTACTATACATGAAATCTTTCAGTTGATACATATAAGGGTTAGGCCAATGAATATTATTTTGCTGCCAGTATGTTGCAATGGACATAAAAACTAATTCAGTTAAAGGCCCAGGTATACTATAAATACGCTCCTAAACAATAGGGATTATTTCCTTGCTTGTCACGCTGTAGTAAACAACTCCAGCCAAGCTCCGGTAAAAAACGCGTTTTTCTCGAACTCACAGGTCAATTATGTCGTGCCAAAGTGGATGTATGTGACTATGAATACCACAGCAGTGACTGTGTGTAATATTTATGACAATAAAGAGTGTACGAGCTGAGATTTTGGCGGATAAAAGTCGGGGAAAGGGACGCGCTACAATTCTTGAATAATTAACTACTGTCAATCAAAGTCACGTGATGTTGGACCCCTGAAACAGGATGCGTCATAGGCTATGCAAGTGATTAACAACACTCATTAGCATAGCCACACCTCCAATTCACACTTGCCTTGGAATTGGGCCTTTAATTGAACGAGCTTCTATGTATATATTTCAGTTATCAGTGTTTTTTATGTCTTAACTTAATGTAAGTGGAGCAAAGTATACATTATTTAACAAACACACATATCACTGTAAGTCGTATGTGACCATATCAATGTACCATGGTATATCTATATGTTTAATAATTCTACTGACAGCACACAATGCGATAAAATACTGAATAATTGGCCTCAAACATTCCGAACACACATCTGTGTTCGTAAACAGCTGTACATATTTAAATAAATACCAAACATTTTCATTTTTGTCATATTTGTAACAAAACATGATATTTGACGACAGTCGGTAATGCGGAGTATGGTTCATATGACTTTTATTGATTTCTTTTTCTGTATTTTTGTTGCCGAATATTGATCGCACTGCTAATTTGTGAGAAAACGGGTGTACAGAATTCACATCGTGTGCAATGCAAGGCAAACACTGAGTTTACTGGTGTACATACCTTAGGGAGAAATCTTCATTCATAAAATGGAAATCACGGAACATAACTTTACCCGACAACAACGACACAGAAAATGAACCTGAAAGGCAAAATTAGACAAAATTAGTTTTGTTTCTACTCTCTGGTTTTTGAAATAGAAAATAGAAACACAACAAAAAAAGTACATAGACCGTTCACTGGTAGTGTAAAACCAAAGTTCAAATCATGGAACTCTACTGCTAGAAAGTTTTCCTGTGTAAAGTAAATATACGGTACTCAGGGCCAGAGGTGACTATTTTATGTAGAAAAATGCAATTATTTGTGATTTTAAATGTTGTTTATTTTCTGTATTTTGTGACATTCCATACTGTGTCTAATAATGATGTCCATGTTTCTGCTTGAACAGTTTTTCATAAAGAAGCAGGTGGTGAGGCAATTGTTTTAAATATTTGATGGTGTACAAATTTTGCAGGTTTGTCAATTGAGGGCACTGTACATTGGTGAAATAAGTAAAAAGAAAAAAAGATGGACTATAAACATCTTTTTTTGGTATGCCTGACATTATCAAAAAAATAGATGAGGTAGGTAAGTTGGTAACAGTAAATAAGCGCCCTCCAGTGGCTACTTTGCAGTTTGGCCATTAAAAAATAGACACACACAAAATTGTCACGTTTGTTTTGTTTGGCCCTATATTTAGCATATAGTATAACCACTAATTAACTAAATCAATAAAACAAAATTATTCAAATATATACACTGTAAAATGCTGGTACCCTTTCATTTAGCAATTAGAATTTTTAGGAGAACCTGAGACAAGAAGGTCTTGCTTCTGTACTTTTTATAGCGAACTACACATTCCATATGTATTTTATTGTTCCTTATATCCTTATTGTATTCTAATCTAGATCCCAGAAGGGATACGATATCAATAAATATATCAATAAAGGTTATGTGTACATTTTTGTAGATGCTCTAATAGAAGCTGCATCCCCTCTGTTGCAATCCACCATTTTAATAGAAGCCGTGGCTTCTAATACAGATTTTACAGTATTATGTATACCTGCCATATGTAGTGATTATTTGCATACATGAATGATGTGGTTACTGTTCTGTACTGTTCTGGGGTACTGTGAAGGGGTCAATTATTCACTGGGTTTTAATTTTGCGCCAAATTAAAACCCACTGAATATGTAGAATTTAGCATAGAACACATTATCTAAATGATAAAACCCATTGAATATGCCTGAAATAGTAAAATCAGCGAAATTTAAAACCAGTGAAAATTAGTCATTTTACAGTAAATACTAGAAATCGTGAGCCTACAGTGTACCAGTAGTGGGTGTTTTTATTTACATCTTGATGGCAGTGTTAGACAACTGTGAAGATGTACTAGTACATCACTACATTTTATATGCAATAGACATGCACAGTCACAGAAATAAACATGACACGCCTACTTAAAGGGGAACTTGTCAATCCAAGGGATTGCATCAGGGAATCATGGGACACATTTTTTAACTTTAGGCCAGACTTTTTTTATTCCTTGTTTCTCAAGTTTTTATAAGGCAATTTTCATAAGGAGGGCGGGAAAAAAATAAAATTAATTCTTTTTTTTCATTAGATTTGTGTGATTCTCAACAAATTGTAAGTCATTCATTCATTCGGAGAGAAGAAATGAAATACAATTTTATTCCATGTATAACCTTGTTTCTCATCTGCGCAGGACTTTGGTACTTTGATTATGATACTCCCATGAAAATGCAACTTGAGTTTGTTATGCGGCGGGTGGAAAAAAAATGAAGATAAAAATAATTTTTTTTTAGCAATTTTTTTCACTTACAAGTTGGTGGGTGCGAGAAATTACGCTGAAATAAAATGTTTTTTTTTATTTCATTTTCGGCTCCTGTTCATTCAACGGGTTCGCGAAACAAGTGATAATAAAAGTCTGGCCTTATTTTTGCCAGGCTTTACATACTATTTTATTTGAAATTGCTAAGATTCAGAGGTCAAAGTTCAAATTGCCACATAATTTAAGAGCACTGCAAACAGAGTTTAAGGCAGCGTTTGCAAACATTTTGTGACATATTTTAAAGAAATAGCAAAAACCATTCTGATGATAAAAATGAGTTTCTGCACTTTACACTACAACATACAATTTTGAAAACCATTTTAGCTTTGCAAGTAACTAATAAGCAAAAAATCAAAAAAAATCAAAACAGTGAAAATTACTTTATTGTCATTTATTGTTTTCTATTTTCTCTGTATTAATGATCAGCATGAAAAAAAAAATCCTCTACAAAATCTATTTCTTTATATTCAACCTAGAATCAGTCAATATTATATAAATTAAATAAATACCAGTGAAATGAAGGAAATAGAAAACATTTTTGAACATAATCTATTTTCACGGATTTGTCAAATGCAATTATAAAATGTTCTTTTCCCATTCAGAGAAAATGAATTCAAATCAAATTCAGAGTTAGAATGGATACATCTATGCAACCCACAGTATAATACTGAGTCCATCTGTTACAGAGACGACTGTGACAGGGTATTTAAATGCTGGATTTTTTACCTCATTGTGATCAAATAATACACATTTCTCTCTTTCACATGTAGCTGTCCTATATCTGAAATAATCACTCATACCATATTGCTTTTAAAATTGATTCACCGAATTTTGTTTGTTTATAATTTAACAAAGTACAGTTATATTTGTACATGCAAAGTCCAATAATGATACATATTAACGATTATTTATTATATAATATTTCATATATTTATAAACACTATACATGCTGTATGTAAATAGTTGAAATGTATTGATTAAATTTATATGTACACGATTCGATAATGTAATTAAGGGGTTAATAAAGATGAAATGTAATAATAAAAACATATTAACGATTATTTATTATACAATATTTCATATAATTAGATCGCTTACATGCTGTGTATAAACAGTTGAAATTTGCTGATTTAACTTATATTTAAATTTTAGTTTTGGTGATTTAATTAAGGGTTTTATAGTGTGACAATAGTGTGACACATTTTGCTTAAAATTCAAGAAGTTTATATTACTGGTTGCCATAGAAATGTCTTATTTACAGATATGGCCAAAACCATATCTACATTTTATTATTTAGTTGTCATGGCTTGATTTTACTGAGACATCAAAGCCAATTGTATTGGTGCTCTACCATTTTGACCTTGATGTCTCCAAGGAATTTCATATAATTTCTTTACACTATATTTAAAGACAATTTTGAAAATGGGTGAAAATCAACCCCTTTACTGTCTGGTGTCACTTATATTTGAAGTGACCTGAAGAGCTGTTTTTTAACTTTATACTGTCTTATACAAACAATTCAGATATTTTTAGGAGGTCATTAATTCTGTTTCAGCTGTGACATTATTTACAATAGTGTGGCATTCCACAGCACACATGAACTCTTTGAAAGATGGAGACAACTTCATCTCTCACTGAATAAACCTGAATAACTGTTTCCAAAATATTGGTCAAGTGATGTAAACCAATGACAACTGATGTCCATTCGGTTCAAAATGAATTGACAAAGTAATTTCAGAAAAATACAAAATTCTGGTTGGAAAAATTCAATAGGTTAACAAGTACATACTAAGACAGGGTACATGTATGTATTATAAAATAAAGTTAATCTGGATGTTGAGAAATCCCAGAAAACCATTACTTTTTATTGAACTGTTTAATAACATTCACTGCCAGCATATGAAAATATACATCTATTTCAGATTACCAAGGGATGTTGTTAACTGCAGTATATTTTAGTTTTATCATCTCACGACACAAATTGAATGGAAATTTGAGCGACTTACAGAGTATATCAATAAAAGCAATGCTTAAATGTTTGAAGTGGAAAATCCTGTGTGGAAAAATGCATTATGATTGTACAGATTAATTCTCTATATTTTATTTCCTGATTGTTATTAATTACAAAAAACATTATGCCAGGAAAGGTTGAAAACCACATGTTACATGTATTTTTATCAGTAAAAAAATACAGAAAATATTATTTATTATTATCTACATAAAAATTAACTGTATACAAGGTTCTTAAATTTATGTTCACTGTATGCAAATTTTCATGAAAATTTCACTTCATGTGAATTCTGAGAAATTCTCACTGCTACAATATTGTGAAAATTTGTCACTTGTGAAATTATAAATTTATAATGTGTGGGCTACACTGAACATTCAATGGACACTCCGGGGAGGGGAATCACTGTGAACAACTAATAACTAGAGAACTTGCAAGCATTATAATTAAATTACGCAATGGCAAAACTTTTAATTATTAATGAATTAGAAATTTGCACGCTGTGAGACAACAATACAAAATAACTTAGTGATGACTGCATGTTTATTTCATATCCCTCCTTGAAATGCACACATCAATGTAAATACTCATAAACAAACAAAGAATGCATACTTAGTGCAAAATAAATTCTTGTTCACTTACCTATTTTAACGTATCCACCTGTTACAAATTTATTAATAATCCTGGTTAGCACAAACCCGAACATACGTGAGTTATAATAAACGAGATACAGAATCCAGAGACCTGTCATCAGAGTCGTGAACATCAACCATATAACATCTGATTTGAAAATGAGCTCGGACAGTTCAGGCGCATCGGTTGTTTGTATCGTCTCATTGTCCGGGATTGTTGTTATTATTGGGGTGACCGAGGTGGACATGTTGCAAAACACTGTAGTAGCAAGCGATCCTGGTTGAAATCGTGTATTGTTGCGGGCTATTTTGGGCAGTGTTCAGGTGATCGGATGAGCGAAACCGGATGAACTCATGCAAACGAGAGGACGCACAGAGATGGGTCGAGACGCCGCACCAGCAGGTAGTCGTACAAGTTTAGCTGCAAACTGATTGACAATCAGACATCCAAGGAAGCAACACACATACTGAGATCTTCCATGCTCATCTTGGTGTCATTTTTACGTACTTGTTGATTTGAAATAACACATCCCCCAATAAAACACGACTTCATGGGGCTCTGCTCATTGTTGTAACAGTAACACATTTGTAGACGCCATGTTGAATGAAAGAATACAAACATTATTGCTAGGTGGCGCTATTTTCATGCCAACCAGAATTTGTAATTTTGACCGCGTGAGGTCGTACTCACCAATAATGGATACTAAATGATTCCAACAATGAACGTTTTTTTAAACACTGTATACTCTTTTCAGTTATTAAGATCTTTTTAAAACTTTTCAAACATGAAGATAGTATTTGCACACCTACCCCTAAACAGCTATGCAATTCTGTCTTAATGAATTGCTGATGTTAATTTGATATCTTGGATGGGAAAAAAGCTTTTGAGACTGGAGTGACTATTTGCCGGGAAATATTCTGTGTAATTATCATTTAGGTCATCTAGTGTTCGGAGTTGCAAATAATTCGTAAAATACACTAGACTCTACTCATCGGTTTCAAGTTGTCGATGACGTCACGGCACAGGGACCCCAAGAACTATAATCAACTAAGTATACGCAGTCTCTATGAGCGGGGGGGGGGGGGTGTCGGCTGGTATCTTAAATTTCTTACACTAGATACCAGCCGATAGCCGATATCATGTTTTAGTTTCCAAAATAATCGATATCACACAGTCTTGGTTCAGCATGGTTTCTGCGCCCTCGGCGACGGATTCAGACGCAACCCCGAATAGCTCTTGCAGATACATTTATCTAAAGCATTTGCATATTCCATGTTCCGTGAGAATTTATCTTGTCTGATCCCCGGGCTTTGTGCGCCTTTTTCGAATGCATATCTTGCCTGTGTGTCGAGGTGCGGGAGTGGACAGGTTTTCACAGGGGACAGCGTAACGCGTTGTAAAATTGTGCGAGGAATTTGTGATTGGACGACTAGTAGAATTCGGGTGACGTAAAATATTTAAATATTTGTTTCATGAAATTTCCTCTGTATTTTTTTTTTAAATCTACCCGTGCTTCAATGGACAATCCCTGTTAGAATAAATATCACCGCGTGTATCGTATGCGATTGTTGAATATCAAAACGCTCAAAGCGGTAAAGTGTGATACACGCATTATACGTTACGTGGTTCATACCTGGTATTCTCCACGCCTTCTACTTATGTGAAAATGGACATATGGAGTATACTCGCATGTACATTGATATACCTCTGGACACTTCAAGGGATAACAATTGTGTTAATGGAATATGAAATATCGATTATGCTCTATCGTTATGCGATGGCCGCGAATGGACATGGATTTTTTTATTTCTTGGTAAATGCTAATTCAAAATTCTCATGTCCGATGTTTGTTCCTAATACACATTTCGCAATAGCCGTATTATCTTTTCTATCTATGTTGCTGGTGTTTCACATCGTCAAAATCCAATGCAATACTATATATTACAAGTAACCTGTAGAATGCTGTGTTGGTAATATTTTTATATCGATTTTTGTTGCATTTGCAGCAAATAGTTACCAAACAATGAGAAATCTATTGGATTGGATTTACCTCTCAGCTGGCTTCAAATACATAGTTGAAGCCTGCCTAACCGGTGCTTATACAGGATTTAATTACAGCACCTAGACGGTCTGTGGTTACAGCTTCATGTTCCGAGTAATCGCAAGAAATTGACATTGCAATAGAAAATAAAAGACTGGCACTCCCATGCAATTAATAGCAAGTGAAATGCCTGGGATTGAAACACAGATTCTAAAGTCACTGATGTAGGCAATGACTAACGAGGTAGTTTATTTAACCAGTGCTGAACCACAAGCTGAAATTATAATTAAGTTAAGTTAATTTGTTTATTTCAATTTCTCCTGTCAAATAGAATACATCGGTGAATGGATGTTTTGGGGTGTAGTTTACACTGTGTATAAAGTGGTAGGGTTGGGTGTCATATAATTTGTTCATTTCCAACTCTCATGAAGTAACATAGAATTTCACTTAATTTATTTTCGTTTTCAAGCATTACGTGTGAATCCAATTTTCACTGTGCTGTGTCAAGTCTCAATGGAGTTTGAGGGAAATGGCATTTTCACTGGAATTTATTTTAGCGGAAAAATGTTTACAGTGAAAATGAAGTATTTCACATTATTACATATGTACTGCAGTTTATTTTGATTCGTCCCTGAAATCAAAATCAGTATTTCCACACCACATATGCAAATGAGGTCTGAGAATAACAAAGTAGTTCTTTCGAAACATAGCAGAAAGAAACTATATTTAGAAGTACGATATTTTATACTTGGATACATGAATATACGACCAATTTCGGACAATCGCCCTCAAAATAATTGATGAAATAGTTTCGGGACCCATCGACAGTAGAAAAGTAGAAACTTGAGGCGAAAATAATGAAAAAAAAAACGGCTGTTACGGCCCGACCTGATTTCAGGTCGGTAAAATAGGGTAACTCGCATAGGATGGAACTGTAGCTCCCTGGTTTCGCGTTAACACCACGACGAACCAAATGACAGACAGCGAAACCAAGCGAGCTACAGAACTGCAGCTAACTAATTTCACGCAATTGTGATGTTTGTTTTAAGTGTACATCACATGGAATACTACGATTGAGAGAACTTGGTGTATGTTGAGTTTTATAAACCCTGAAGGGCTCTTGGAAGACCCCCCCCCACGCAGTAAAATTAGCGATTGCCATGGAGGCGCAACCATCAACATCGAAATACACTGTGACGTCATATTTTTTTATGATAACAACTGTGGCTCCCCTGATCAGCACAGACTTGTGATCTGCTGTGATAACATTGCTCATAAGTTGCTTCATTAACAAGAACACATATATCAGGGCCGTAGCTAGCTTTTTTCACTAGGGGGGCAGCAATGTATTTTTTATAAAATGCGTATAAATGTATAAAGGCGTAGAGGCTGGGGGGTATATCTATCTATTTTTAACAATAATATCATCTTGATATATTTTATGAATATATACAAAACACGGGATATTACAGTATGAACTTTAATACCTGAAACACTTTTGTTCTATCTTCATATATAAGCAACATTAATGTACAGGACTGATTAATACAATTGATAGTTGTACAATACACAGTTTATGTTTACAACTTTGGCAATAGCATATTAATTTATCTCCAGTTAGCTTTCCTCGAATAAATCACTTCTGGGGAAGAAATGATGTCTTTGTCTCGGTGTACTAGTAACATTGCAAGAGCACTGAGTCTGTCTTGAGCCATGCTAGATCGTGTCCATAACTTCACCCGCCGAAGTGCAGACACAGAACGTCTCGGGAAGAACGTTCACAGGTGTTGTAAAGAATATTGTGTGAATTCTGTGGGTGGCTGGGAAATATTTGACATCATAAACAGCAACGGCCTTGTATATGTAAACGGCCTTGTATATGTATATTTAATAACAACGGCGAACAACGCCGTAATTTTATCTTCGAGTACGAACGACCGGTTCTTGCCAACTTGAACCAGTCACTGCCCTAGCGCACCCGCGGACGTACTACTTTGGTTTCACCATGACAACGACGTAAACAGATCGATCCAACGTTTCATCATTCTGACTGTGTGACAGTTTGTGTGGTTATTTTATATTAACATATATAACTTACTGAATTTATTAATATGGCTAACATTTCTTTAGTTTGTTTTTGTCTAAATTGTATGTTTGGATAAAAATGTCGTTGGGCATACCAGAGGGTATTTTGACAGGATACAACGAAATTCTCATTGAAAAAATAACTCCCGCTACTGAGGAAGAAATAAATGAATGCCAACTAATAAATAATACTTTTGATTTGTTTAGAACTCGAAGATATTTCTTTTCCGGTAGTATGTAACTCAAAAGAGCCCATGTCTACTATATTACTAACAGTTGTCTCGTTTTTCTTTACTTGAATAATTCAATATATAAATGAATGAAAGAATAAATAAAGTAAACTTTATAATTAAGTTAAGGGTCATTTAACGCAATTATTAAAAAAATGTAGGCTAAGTACGAGGTGAACAGTAAGAAGGAGTACATGGTAAAAACAAAGACGTTTTTCTCTGTAAGCGCCGTAGAGGGCGTTATTTGTTTCAGGTGAGTTAAAATTCTCATAATTAGTACAGCAATAATTCACAGACACTGAATAAATAAATAAATTACTGACTTTTTTGTTGCATATTTTTGTTGAGAGAATTTGATAAATCAGAAGGTGGTACACATTTTTAGTTCATATCTTCTCGATTACCAGAAATATAATAGCCTCCATCGCTTGCCAAATCGTTGTGTACATGATGATAATCCAGTTACCTAAGAAACTGAAAACATGTTATTGATGGTAAAGACCATGTCTGTCACATGCGGATATAAACTAAGACCGAAGTCTCGGTGTAAGGATGTAGGCATGCAGAGAAAGAAGACATGCATCACCAAGGTAACTATTTGAACACGCAGTAAACACTAGTAGTGAGTAATAAACATCAGGTAGTCACGGCAACCTATTCGTGTCAACAGAACAAACATTACGTGAGAATGTTATATAGTTTATCTTCTTAAATCACATTATTTTTTTAACTGTGAAAAAAATAAAAATCAACAATTGTAAATTAAAAAGAGTCATTCCATTGTTTAATTCTGTTATTTCAAAAATTATACATACATGTACAAGAAAAATTGAAATGTGAATAGAAACTAAAAGTGTGCGTGTCCTTTTTGAAAAAAAATGGAAATTGTTTGGCATATGTTTTCCTGCACTGGGAAATGGAACGTTTCCATATGGAAGATTCCTTCAACATCAAATGCAACACAAAAATACACACTTTTGGATATTCTGCACGACCAAAGCAAAGACCATTCATGATACTATTTATTAGAATTGGACTGGGTCCATAATTTTTCTTTACTTTAAGAAATAATAATACGTATTTTCATTAAACGTGAGTTATTTCTTCCAATTTGTCGCAAGAGCCTGAATCTTCATCAAGTCGGATCGAGAAAGATTGTTAAGACTCCCTAAGTGAACGCGTATTACACAAAGCTCCCCAGCTAGGTATACTTATTCTTTTATCCGACACGGCTTTGTACGTTGATCTGGTCTGCAGGTCGCAGTTGGCGAGGAATTTGACGACGGAGAGGAATATACATATAAACGAACAATATATGTACTGGCTTCTATATTCGTCTGCAACTGAAACCAATGACGTGCACAGAAACGCGTGGAAACGAGTCTCGAATACTAGTAATGTACGTACGTTCAAACATACATTGACTTAGCACACATTGGGGTGACGAACTCGATGAACGGTTCAGTTTTACTTAAAAAATGGCACAGCAATAACGCGGCAGTATATTAAACCGTTGTCATGGTGATCTCTATACTCTGTGCACACGTGGTAGCTTCAGTCTGATCTAATTGTTTTATATCAAAAAGTACATTTTCAGTGATAGTTTCGCTTGACTGTAACAAACATGTCCGATCACTCAGTGTCACCCCTTCCGTGTCAAAATACAGCACTAGTAGAACATTATTATCGATTCGCAGTCACACAATCACGGCTCTCATAATGTGATCAGGGTATTTACATAATGCCGCTACATTTAGTACATGTAGGTATTACCAGAGATTACTATTAATACCGGTAGTAATACTAGTATGTCTTTATAAACCGTGTTCTATTTATAAATCTGGATGCCGGCTATAAGATCATAGTGTGCATATTTGACAGGGCGAATCTGTGACCCAACAATGTCTGATTGGAAAAAAGTTACTTTAGTAACATACAATTATATTGGGGAGTGCTGGAGGATAGGGTTATAGTTAGGGGTAAATAAAAGTATTATGCAGCTACCAAATTCAAACGACAGTATAAAAACTCTTTTAAAACTGTAAATATCAAAGTAAGTTTAGGTTTTTATTTTTCACTTAAATCTGAATCATGTGAATTCTAAAATCAAGAAAGAGTTATTAATTAATTAATTGGTGACAGCCATGTGGCGGGTAGTGGATGGGGTTGGCTATGGTGGTAAGGTTGAGTGGGGAGGTTGTGCTGGGTACGTGGCAGTTAACACATGATCTACCCAAACAACGTCTCATCACACTTTTCATTTTTCATGTACAGGGCACACTATGTTGCGTGACATGAATCTACGTCGTAGAGTGCTAGGAATAATGAATACAAGAGTCCGAACTCGACATTACTTATCTCGGTTTTGTGTTGCTGCCTTGAGCATATTCGTTCTGCTATTTCTTTTCGAGTATGCGAGTGACAGCAAGTTGAAGACAAGTGATAGGTACGCCGTTAATAATATGAACAAACTGATGGGAAATGTCGCAAGGAAACTAGATTTGCACAAGCAGGTAAGTTGGTGACTGCATACATATGTATCTACAGTTGAATATTTCACATAGTTATGTTAAGTGGGCTATTATCAATTCATGCATGATTTATACAAACATTCTGGTACTCTAGCGATGGGGATGATAAATTCATATTTACTTTCAATGTAATTTTATTCATTATTTTTGACATCAATTTAATATTTGAAATTAGGGGTCACGCATAAGACCTATTCATGATGCACATTATTTACCAGCTATTTACATGACAGCATACCATCTGACCTACAGTAGATGGGATGTTTTGAAGCATGTTGTCCAAACAGTGACAATTCTCTATTTGTATATAAACTAATTAGCTAAATCTTTCCACATATTTTTTTTTTTTTTACTGATTAATGAAACTTTAGTTTAAATGATAATAATGTCCAAAAAAACAATAATTTTTCCATTGCATCTAAATGATGTATGCCGTTATGAATCATAGTGACTATAGGACATTTAATATTGATTGAATGCATTAATTTGTAATATGATTTCAAATAAAATTTTAGTGATGAAGCCCACTATTTACAGATTTGTTCAAAATTAATCTGAAAATTATCCCCAGAAAAAAATCTTTTGGATGATTTTTTGACAATTTTTAAATAAAAAAACAAAACCCTGCACATATTTATTTTAGAAAACAAATTGACTTGAAGCCCTTTTTCTGGGCCTTGTTAAAGCAGGGGTGTCGTCACCCGCGTATACGTCAGATGGCCATAGCGTGTCATTGTTTACAAACAAGCGTCCACCCATGAGCCTTTGCGCTTCAAGCACGTGTTGTTCACGTCGGTTGGGACTCGCTTCCCGAGGTGCGCAGGTGAGACCCCTCTGCTTTATTAAATTGTGCATATAAATGTTGCATCTGAATTTTGGTAGTTTGGCTCTCAAAGGTATAATGTTTCACACTAAGGAGGTTACAATGGATTGTAAGTGTTTTAACACATGCTGGATGAATGTAGGTCTTGGTGAAATTATAATACTGTAGAATACTTTGAATTTATTTTCACTATTTTTGCTGAAGGGATGATTCTATGAAAATGAAATCCAGCGAATACACCTTTTTTCCTATATTTCACATTAAACTCGTCAAAAATCAGTGAAAATAAATTCTATACAAAATGCCAAAAAAGCCTTTTCAGCGAAAATTAATTCCAGCGAAAATAAAGTATTCCACAGTATATGTAATATACAATATGTAATATCTAATATGTAATACAATATTTTTTGTCGGGCAGGACGGTCGGTGTTCTATTCCTCATCTTGCTGGTCACAGTTACAATTCAGAGAATGTGTCTTGTCACCGAATCCATCCCATTAGAGGTTCCTGCCAGTTGGCTGATGAATTGTTTTTCAACTCACCATTGGAAACATG